TCAATCCCCAGAGCCTACGACAATGCATCGCCGACCACAATGGAAATAAAATAAAGCTATTTTGCAGATGGTAGTCTGCTATCAAGCCATACTTCTGCTGGTGCCCATACACGTCCCTTGTCATAGTCCTTCGCATCATCTGTCCCAAAGACTTTCACGAGCGGATGCACCATTATACTAATAGGCTTTCCTTTGAGCTGATCCACGTGCTGTTCGTAAGCTACCGAAGTTTGCGCAATCATGTCTGTGCTATCGGGGTTGAAGACCGGACGGCCCCCCTGCCCCTTTAAAGTACAACATACCAATGTCGTTCTTCTTGTCCATAGCATGTACGACATGGTTGCTGCCTCTTGATAGATAGCTTTAAGAGTATCTATACATTCGGCTCCAGCTTCATTGCCCATGAGATATCGAGCTGGACCTTCTAGGAAGTTCAAAGCCTGTTGATTTGCCACGCCAGCTATCATATTCTCAGTTGTGTTATGCAACCACTTTTCATCTTCGGAAGACTCATTATCTATCGGTGGTAATTGGAGTCTCAAAGTTTGGGATCGCCAGATATGAGCATCTTCTTGATTTGCTATTAAATAATTAGCATAATTGGTCTCTTGACTCATTGTTCGTTTCACTTACTACACTTGCCGTAGTTGTAGAGTGTTTCTAGTCCTACCCGGAACTCTGACTTCAAAAGCCGTCCTCCCACAAGTTCTCCCTCTATGAAGAAGAAGGGACTCCGAAATAAGGTTGCGTAAATACTATGGGAGAGGAGAGCATTCAAAAGTAGTACTGGATACTTTCGTGCAGATAACCCCTGAGGTAGTCCACCGTCCTCAAAGACAACCACATGGCTCAACGCATTCATTAGAGCTAAGTGTTCACTTCCCTCGAGTGACTCCAGGATACTAGTCATATCATTCATGGATTCTTCTTTCGCCCAGGCTCTCATGTGTCTCTTGAGTCTACTGAGATCTTCCGTAACTTTGCTATCTTCCGTGGGCGTCCAACGTGAGATTGGCATTTGGCTGAATGTCGCTTCTTGTTGCTTCAAAATGAAAGTGTTGTGCTTCTCTTCTATGGCCTGTTTTTCAGACTCAAGTCTCTCGATTTTAGCTAGTAATGTCTGTGTCACATCTTCGGAATCGGTAATTTGACGTTGTAAGTCTCTCTCCTTTGCCGCGTGATTTTGGTTATTTTTCTTGAGCAGTTCGTTATATTCTTCCTTCAATTTGACGACTTCGTCTTGCTCTTTCGCGCTCGAGATACCTTTTCCTGTTTGCTCATTGACTTGTGAGTGCCGAGAGGACTGCTCTGCGCTACTAGATCTGCAATGACGTTGGTGTGATTGTCTCTCATTTGACATTGCCGAAGATCGAGGGATCGTGGAGTGAAAGATTTTTGCAAACAGCGAGATCGATTCTTCTGTAGTAATGTGACAAAATTAGCCATACTCTCAATAAATATATGATTACATACCTTTTTCGGTGTATCGCTCATTTCTCTTTGTCCTCTGCTCAGTCTTACGGATTGGTACTGAAAGCTCATCATCCTCATCTTCGTCGGAGTCGAGACCAGGAGAAAGTTGTTGAATGTTCATCGAATTCTCTTGCCCCATTGAACGAGAGTCGACGCCAACTTCAAATTTACCTGTTGCAGGCAATGATGATCTGGGCGGAGCGGATTCTTGACGTGTTGACCTTTGATACTCGCCTTCTTGACGGAGATGGTCTCGTTTATTCGGACTTTCGTGGGTCATTTTCAGTTGTACTTAGGTAGATACTTCTGAATGGAATATTGCGTCAAGTACCCCAAGGGAAAAGAAACATGACAAGGAGAAGGTGAAATTTCGTATGCCTGCTTCGATTGGCCGCACTACTATCACTGGTTTTGGCGACACTTTGGCGCCTTGGCTTCATTGTCACGTGTTTATTTTGCCCAAAACAAGTGAATGAAAGCCGGGACAACCCGCGACTGTAAGGTTATTTCCCTACTTCCCAATTCCTCATCTTTTCATAACATATAGCAACCTCTTATCAACTTCAAAAACTGACCACTATATTCTCAAATTCTGGTCTTTCTCTACCTTACCATCATCATGCCCACTACACTAGATCTCAAGTCCCTAAAAAAGGCTATGGATTCTGTAAATGGCCACAAGATAATCATAGGAATTGATTATGGTACAACCTTCTCAGGTATGCAAGTCAAATTTCGTGGTTTTCATCTTTAACATTATTACAGGCGTTAGTTATGTGACCACGGATAAAACTGGCATAGAGGACATCACTATTATGTCTCCATGGCCTGGAGATCCTCATGTATCTTGGAAAACTCCCACGAGAATCGCGTACAGTCGGGAAAATTCAAAACTGCAAAACAACAAATGGGGATTTGAAGTTAGCTCAAAGTTGATATCTTACTCATGGACCAAACTTCTGCTCGATAAGAACGCTGCTGTCAGGGCGCATGATGATCCATCACTTGCAGGCACGACAGGTTCTGGCATGCTTCAATTACCTAAATTTCGTGATGCGGCGGGCGTCTGCGAAGATTTTCTACATGAGGTATACAAACATGTATCAACCAAGTTGCGACAACAAATGACCGATCTGACCTTTGAAAACACTCCAATGGAATGCTGGGTAACACTACCTGCTGTGTGGTCAGAAGAGGCGAAAGATGCTACATTGAAAGCTGCCAAGAATGCCGGATTTGGGAAGAGACCAGGTGACGAAATTTACACGATTGCCGAGCCAGAAGCCGCAGCAATTGCAACGCTGAAGGAATTTGCCAAATCAGATGCAATGAATCCAATTTTGGTACGTGTGAATATATCTACACTCATGGCAGATTCTAACGACCCTAGTGTAATGAGAATATTTTAATTTGTGATTGTGGTGGGGGCACTATCGACATTACAACATATACCATTATCCAGGTGCAGCCATTTCTTACCTTTGACGAACTATGTGTTGGTGTTGGTAAGTCTTTCACACAATCAATCTACTTGAACTGGGTTTTGACTTTCTAAATAGGTGGAAAATGCGGGTCAACATACATCGATCGAAATCTTCATTCCCTCCTTTCCAATCGGTTCGGATCGGCATTCGATGATCTATCATATACTCAAAAGGGTCCAGGTAGCAGATTCATGGCAGCTTTCGAAATGTTGAAACGGGACTTTGGACGCAATGATGAGAAAGAAGTAGGGGAGCTGGGCCCTCTCAATCTTGATGTCCCCGACTCTGAGTATTTTGATGAGGAGGACCGACTTGTGTTGCTTACACAGTAAGTCCTTTGTCTGCAAAGGAGGCAATTTACTAATCAATTTCTAGCAAAGATATGCAAGCCCTTTTCGATCCCGTCATCGCGGAAATTACCAACTTGGTAAAACAGCAAGTGAAGGCGGCAAATGACACCAAGAAGGCGAAAATCAACGTATGCTTCCATTTCCACATTGAACAGAATCAAAGAAGTCTTACTGATATTCGGCACGCATTAGCGTATCATCCTAGTCGGGGGTTTTGGTGAATCGCTATACCTCAATAAAAAGTTGAAGACGTGGTGCAGGCAAAACGGGAACATCACTTTGATATGCCCCTTGCACCCGTGAGCCGCGATCCACATGTCTCTTTGTTATGTTTCTATGCTAATTTACTGAAGCCAATCTGCTGTTGTTCGTGGAGCTGCCCTGCGTGGATTGGAAGGAATTGCGCCGCGGGTAAAGCACCTCCGCCGCCATTATGGTAGTGGCCGAGGTGACTTTTTTCGGGAAGGCATAGATCCAGAAGAACACTCTTTCATTGATTCGTGGGACAATAATAAGATGTGCCGTCATAGAATTGGATGGTTGATTAACAAGGCAAGCCATTACTTCACCACCTCGTGTTATACGGGCTAACGAAAGCATGGTAGGGAAATGACATAACCAAGGGCACCTCTAGAACTATCACTGTTTGCCGCGAGTATACACCTGGATTGAGTATGGTCTTTAAGGATTTCCTTTATGCGTCTCTAGCAGAACTGCCCCCCGAATATGATTTTGATCCTAGTATGTTGCTCAATCGATACAAACGAATTTAGTTAACATATTATAGGGGTCGAGAAAGTTGGAACCATCGTTTCAACCCTGGGTAAGAATCTTGATCTCAGTCAGTATGTCAGAGAGAAATACAATTCCAAACTCCAACGCATGGTGCGTAAAATTGACTATCAACAACAAATCATATTTGGTAATAAGGGAGATAATCTTACGTTCAGGTGTCTTGTAGGCGGAAAGGAGATTGGCAAGTCAGTGATGAAATTTGATAATTGAGGGCGGGCGTTGGGATTTTTATCGGCAGTAGCTCCGTACTACAAAAACGTCGTCTCTTGCTTCTGCAAAGATTTCTTCTTCTTTCCTTTTTCCTATTTTCTAGAACAATGGGATTTGTATCCGGATTCCGGGTTTACACTTCCATCTCTTTCAAGATGACTACTTTCTTCAAACACAAACATGGGGGGTCAATAACTAGTACTGCTATTACTTTTACAAAATGAAAAAAGATTTACAATGAATGTGGTATCTCCTGAGATGATGAATGTTTCAAATCCAGCCAGCGAACCTGTACCATTTCTAGATTCGCCATCTGCGGAAAAGAGGCAATCGATCTTAGCAGGTAGTAATGAAGACCCAGGTGTCTCAAACCTTAAAATCCCAGCCCGTGAAAGAAAAGCTAAAAGCCAGCCAGCAGAGACACCAGAAAAGATAATGAAGTTATCCCTAACACACATCCCCAGCCCTACAATCCAACTCCAAACTCCAAATAGCAAACATCAAGGTATTTTCTACTATAGTCCATGCGCCGGATTCCATATCAGAGCCGCCTCATATAAATAAGTCTCGTCCCTTCTCCACAAGGTAGACTTTTTACCCCACCACCCCACCTCGCTAACAAACTCTGCCCCCCAACAAACATACTTTATAAATTCAAACAAACCCGCCATCTCAACAATAACATCAAGCGTTTGTGGTTTAGTGGTAAAATCCATCGTTGCCATTTGAGGAGATTCATCCATCTCTTCAATCAACGTCGATGGGCCCCGTGTTCGATTCACGGCGATCGCATTTTGACGCGTTTGCGCGGATTTCTTTTTTGTTTTTGGATGTAATGGAGACGTTCGATTCTTGGCGAGTGTAGGTTTTCTTTTTGGAGGGAGGGACTTTTTGGGCTGGGGGGAGGGAGGAGAAGATATCTTTATCATTCAGCTGCATCACTATCTCTGGAAAAAAGATGATGAATGACTCGCAGTTTCAATCTACGGCAAGATTCGTGTGGTCTCAGGGTCTGCTTTAGTAATTGGTAGAAATCTAAATCTAAACTAAACCTCTTTTATTCATTTGATTTTGGTTGAATCAAAGAGAGGCTGTTGGTTGTGCACTGCAATGAAGTTAGTTATAACGTAGCAGAATTAGCGTTAGAAAAGCCTTCTTCTTTCTACGATATGTATGATTTTGAAGTTGGTTATATATTCTTTTCCTCTCTACTAGCCAACCAAACTAATTGGGAAATGTGAAAATGAATAGGCTGAATGGAATCGAATCGAGAATTTTAGATGGTTAGGTTGTTTATGATGTGATGTGCCTTTTAGGTATAATTACCGTTGTAGGTGTAAGGAATGAATGATTGAATGAGTAGGATATTGAATGTTATTGTGTTGAATACTATACTATACTACTATTCATCTCGCTGAATTCTGGGGGAAATGCGAATGGGTATATGATGGATATGATATATTATAAAAAGTAAAGTGTTTGGAAATAGGTGATTTATCTTATCTTCATTCATCTTCTTGCAAGTCTGGGATTTCTTTTTATATTCCCTTTTATTCATTCATCCATTCATTTCATTTCCTGGACAAAAATATAAAATTGAGAAATGTTCAGATATCTTATATTCCATCTCGAATATTCAAACATATTGGATGGATAAGGTTAATATAAGATTTTGGTAGCTACAGTATTGTATCTCATCCTCGTCTCGCCTCAAAAATTATTAACTTGACTCCTGTACTACTCTCCCTTCCCCTCTCATAAAAATGGTGAGCTGGTACTAGTACTACTAAGTACTAATTTCCAAGTCTAGCAACCCACCCACTGGCTACAAATAAGTAAGTGAGTGAGTGAGTCGTTACTATAATGACAAGATCTCACCTGCACTTTCGAAAAGAAGGAAAAATAAATGTGAAGAAATATCACCATTATTATTATGCTTATTGCTCATTGCTCAACCATCAAAATATTCCAGGAGACTTACTTAATTAACTACCAAACTAGCTAATAAAGGGTCTGGAATCAAAATCAAAATCAAAATCAAAATCATCATTCACGAATATGAAAAGGGAAGAGAAGAGAAGAGAAGACGCGATGAGTCCTCGAGTGCAATAGATAGAGGTGTTCTTTGATAGAATCATGATGGGATTGTGTAGAATAAGATGGTATAAACATATCCCAAAACCCAACCGGCCATCATCAATCTCTATAAAATCCACATATAATCTCAAAACAAAACAAAACAAAACAAAACATTCAGTCCCTCCCCTCCCTTCTCCTCATCCCTCATCCCCCCTCCCCCATCCCCTCTCCCGCCTACCCCCCATATATAAACACTCAAGTTAACTTTCGCAATATACGATATGCGATGCATACTCCTACTAGGGCATTCCTACTAGGACATTCATATTCCTACTAGGAGAGAAAGCTTCCGATTCCGATTCCGATATCTACTTGAATACCACTTAAATACCTACCACGCAGGTATCTCTAGCTCTAGCTCTAGCTCTAGGAGTATTAACTTAATTGCATATCTGTATGATTTCCGAGTAAAAGTCAAGTTTGGATGGATACTGGATTGGTGTGAAGTTTGAAGTTCAGACCTAGGTAGGTATTCGTTGAGCTGAATTGCACTGAAATTTAGATATGAGATGGGATGGGATGAGAGAAGAAATGTTGTAACCTTTCGATGATGATTTTATATCGCTCCTGAATCAGATGAGACGCGGCTAGTTGATGTGTTTCGTATAAAAGTCCCGAGGTCTGTATACATACCTATTCCAATCCCAATCCCAACTCCGTTTCCATGCAGAGGCTTCTGCTTGCTCTACATCTTTACCTTAATTACAACTTACTACCCACCAAACTTCCCCCATCCAACGCAATAATCGCCCCATTAACATAACTACCCGCCCTACTACCCAAAAACAAGCAAGCGCCCGCCACATCCTCCTTCCTCCCAATCCTCCCCAACGGAATCCCACTCACAATCTGATCCTTATGTTTCTCCAGCGTAGCCGCCATCATCTTACTCTCAAACGGACCACAAGCCAAGACATTACTCGTGATATTTCGCTTCCCCAAATGATTCGCCAGCACGCGACTTAATTGATGCAAACCCGCTTTACTGGCCGAATACGAAAAGGTCTCGAGAGACGGGACGCGGATTCCATCCACGGATCCAATGTTGATGATGCTTGCTGGTTCCGAGGGCGTCGATGCGGCTTCCAAGAGAGGCGTGAGAGCTTGGGTGAGAGTAAAGACTCTGGTGAGATTGAGAGTTAAAACTCTCGTCCAAGCGGCATCGGGGAATTCGGCATACGGAGCCCCCCAATTACTCCCCGAGTTGTTGACCAAGACATGTAATTTCTTCTCTCTCTTTTTCAATTCATCCACCATGCGTTTGCAATCCTCGAGTTTGTAGAAATCGGCTGGGATGGCGTGGGCAGAACCTTTACCTGTGAGAAAGAGGGGTTAGCTTCATGGATCAACATTGGAAAGACAGAGAGTTGAGGTACCCAGTGCGTTCAATTCCTTGCATGCTTCTTCGCAGGCTTTCACATCGCGGGATGAGATGTAGACTTTGGCTCCATTGGTGACAAAACCTTCGGATATCATTCGTCCTATTCCCTTTGCACCACCGGTAACAAGTACCACTTTATCCTGTTAATTTCATTAGTTTATGAATTGCTCATGGATACCATTTGGTCGCCTACCTTAACATTGAAGAGATTTTGCGCGTCCATGATTAGTATTCGAAGATTGCAAATGTTTTTGTTGGATAGATAGTATAGTTGAAATAAGTTGAAATGAGTTGAAGTTGAAATCAAATGATTATCCGGGGTTTCATGAACCTCGGCTTGATTACTTGCCAAGAACAGGGGTGAGGTTGATTAGCGCCACAACTGCCACAACTGCCCCACCAGCCCACCTAAGGTCACACGGGTATCTGATCTCTACCAAGGTACTTGCTCCTTGTCTTTCTGAATATTTGTCATATTTCATCTAATCGACAGGAAGAGCCATCAACAATAAAATTCAAGGCCGCAAAAGATACTTAAACATGACTTCAAATATCAGTTTGTCCGGTCAGTCAAGAAGTCCTTCCAAGAAATATCAAAATGGTACTGAAGAACCTGATATAGATATGCGGGCTCGCCTTCAAGCTCAATTTCAAGGTCAAGATCCATCTGAACATGGCGAGAAGTGGGATCAGCTTTGGAAAGACAAGATTACTCCATGGGATAATGAATCACCTAATCCAGCACTCATTGACATCCTAAATGACCGAGAAGATCTTACGCCGAAGAAGACTGATGGTTCAAGGAAAAAAGCTTTAGTTGCAGGGTGTGGAAAGGGATATGATGTCTTGCTGTTGAGTGCCATGGGTTTTGATGCTTATGGGCTTGATATTTCTGAGACGGGACTTCAGGGTGCTAAGGATACTGAAAAAGAGAAAGATGGAAAGGGTTTGTATGAAACGAAGGAAGGGGTTGAGAAAGGAAAAGTTACCTGGATATTTGGAGACTTCTTCAAAGAGGATTTCTTGGCAAACGTCGTGGGAGAGAAAAGTTTTGATTTGATCTATGATTACACGGTATGTGACTGTTCAAATGTATCAGAATCAAGATTACTAAATCTTGAAATAAAGTTTGGCTGTGCATTGCCTCCTATCTTAAGGCCCGCATGGTCCAAACGATATCATGAGCTTTTATCTCCAGAAGGAAGACTTATCTGTCTTGAGTATCCTACTACTAAACCTCCTTCAATTGAAGGTCCACCATGGGCCATGCCTCCAAGAATTTATGAAGGTCATTTGTCACGCCCGGGTGAAGTATTGCCATATACTGAGGAAGGATGTGAGCTAGAAGTTGAGAAACTTGGCCCACCACACGAAAATGGCCTTCAGCGTATCGCACACTTTCATCCCAAGAGAACTAATAGGGGTGGGTACGATGCAGATGGTAATGTAAATGATTGGATCGGTGTTTGGTCGCATTAAATAGTTCCGCCTAATAATTAGAATGGGGACTGACTCGTACTTGCGGTATTTGTGTCCTTTACGGTGCTTTTCGAAGTGAGTTATAATGTTCGCCCAATCCAAATCCGTGTCGATAGTATGCCAGATAAATCGTCTCTGGTTTATTCTCAGTCCCAGGCTCAATCTTCTGGGCTGCTCCATTTTGTAATACACAAATCTCGACATTGTATGATTTTGCCAAAGCAAGAAGTTCCAAATGTCCACCCCATTCTGCAGTATCCCTAATTTTGTGGATATAATGCTCGAGAGGTTCGTCTAGAAATGGAACAAAATCGTCCGGGTGTCCTTCGATATATCTTGCGGCTGCTTTGCGGATCACTTTGTAGCGTTGATCATCCTTCAATCCTTCTGCCTCAGGTCCAAGAGGTATACCGGCTTGGGATAGTTGATCGGCAATCGCAGAAAAGAGACAATGCCCATCTGGTCGGATTTGTTTCTCCTGTAAATTTCTCGAGGTAAACTCCTCTTGCATTCTCTTCCTTTCTACTTCTTTTTCATCTGGCATATTCGCAGCCTCTTTCCTAGCTTCCTCCACAGCAGCTTCTTGTTCCGCTGCTCTTCGTGCAAGCCTTTCTTTCTGTCGATTACGTTTCTTAGGCTGTCCAGCCTCAGATTCTGCCGTTTCCGCTATCGAAGATTTCTCTAATGAATCGGTGATATTATTGACTCCATTTGTATCAATCGCATCGGCTGAAGTTTCTGAAGTTTCCTCATCAAGCTCTGGAACATCATCAATATCCGGGACAGCATCTCC